ATAACGCACCACGGAGTAATCGCACAATATACGTTAGCTATAATTTTTTAAGGAGACAGATGGGAGTAGAGATAACACCGTAGTTGGCGAGCCAGGAGAATGCGCTAAGCTTTTGCAACAAAATTCTCCGAGCCTCAGCTTCGTTGTCTATAAAATTGGGTGGCTGGAGGGGAACAACCATAAGAGCAGTTAAAATAAGGGTGCAGGCAGTAGCCTGGGAAGTCTTAGGACCTCGGGGGCAGAAAGGGTTAGCGAGGAGCTCGGGAGATTCGCGATCCCGGGCCCGAGAGGCTCCGCTCCGCCCCGCCCCACCCGGGAGGCCCTGGCAGCTTCAGCCCGCGAGCAGTTCCGGTGCCAAAATCCTTCCCTCCCCCGCTCCCCCGGAAGTGCTTCTCCAGGGTTCGGGCCGGAGAGAGGCCTGGTAGGCACAGCCGCTGAGGCTCCATCGGCTCCGAGCAGGGGCTCCAGTCTGGATCAAAGCACCGAGGTTCTGGCCCTCCGACCCGCGCCCTGCGCCCTCCCAGCGCCCGGGCCGACGGTGAGTGGCCGGGGAAGGGGACTAGGACAGCCACGGGCCTGCGCCGGGGCTGGCGCTCCCGGGCCCCCGCTGCTCGCCCGGGTTCCGGGCTCCGGGCTAAGCTGTCGGGGTCCGAGGACGAGAGTTCCGACCGCTGAGGTCTGCGCCTCGGCCGCCGGGCGGGAAGAAGTGGGTTGCGGGGCTGTGGGGTGGGCGGGGCGGAGCCAGGGAGAGGGTTCGCGGAGCTGTTTGTTGGTGTTGGGGTTCCGGAGAGGGGATGGACTGGGCCTGCGTCCATGCGACCCCCGCGTTTCTGCTCTCCCAGTTGTCGCCGCCGCCCCAGTTTGATTTTGCGTTGAACATGGAGCTAGGAATCTGGATAGCAGACTCGGCCCGGGCGCCGGTGCCCGACTCCCGCCGCCTCTGGGTCTGTCCTCGGGCTCAGTAATTAGCTTGGGTCCTCGGGGTGTCGTCTCCTCAGTTCCAGGGTGGGGCGCTGCCTGGGTAGATGCCGGGAGCTTCTGTGAGGCTTTTCCTTCCAGACCCGCTTCGGGGTAGCCTCGGCCCGATTCGGACTCGCTCGGAACTGGGTCTGGATGCGAAGCGAGCCTCGAGTGGTTTTCACCCACTTGCTGAAGCTATTGTTGAAGTCACTTAGCAAACACAGCGTTCTTGAGGAAAATGGGGAGTTCGGATAAATTCCCCCGTTTCCTTGCTGACGTAAAACAACGATGCTCTCCTGTAATCCGCCTTTCTAATTCCTGTGGCTATCCGAAGTCACAGCTATATGACGAGTTCAGTCGGAGGTTACCGCACGAACTGATCGCACAGCGTTGCAGAATTACTGTATTCCCTTTCTCCTGGAGTTTGTTTACTTTCATATTCGGACCTGTCATTTTCCTGAATTTGTAAAGAAAAATTTGTTGGAGGTTTCTCATGAGAGGTTCGATACATAGTTACAGCTGTTGCTGCATTGCAGAGATTTCCACGAGTGGGCAGACGTGTTTTTGTTTGTTTGTTTAAATTTGTATCATGAAGTGTTTACCTCGGATACCTTGAAAGTTTCCTGGAGGAGAAAGTGATGGTAGGTAGTTACTTTCAGGGAGTAGATTTTCGGTAATAAACTCTGGTGAAAGGTTTGTAGGAACGAGGGCTCTTTCCATGTTAAATGTGATTTTTAATGATCAGTAAGGGGTTGCATTTACTGCAGATTATCATGTCCAGTGTTTATGCAACGTAAGCTATGCACAAACCATCTTCATGAAACCATCAACAGTATGAGACTTCTCATCTTCTGCGTATGTTAGGATTTATACTGTAGTATTTTTGGGATACTTATGTCATTCTCTCTCCTCCCACCACTGGAAGGGGAAGGTAATGTCATGAATCAGGGAGACTACATTGAAGTGACAAGTTCAGTGAGCTCTCACTATGCAAAGGAAAGTTTATTTCGGGGTTGTTCTTAAACAAGCCAAGGGGGATGATCTTTAAGTCCCTGGGAAAAATTGTAGAGGGAAGATTATTTGCACAACTTTTAGATTTAGATAGAAACTGTAGATTCGTAGACATTTGAGGTACTTAATTGTTCAGAGTGTAAAGTTGGATTATTGGAATTGAGAAAATCTGGAAAAGGAGTCAGAGCTGTACTGTAGATATGATGTGTTTTGAGGGGAACTATCATAGGAATTATAGAAGAAAAATGAAATTGGGGAAAATCAGATACTTTCAGGCATTATAAATTTTATTGCATTACTCAAATCAGTTCAGCACTACTGAACATTTGCTTTGCATCGAACTATGTAAGGCAAACATGCAGGAGAAAATAAAGACCTAGCCATAATAACTAAGGTTTATATTTTGACAGTTTTCCCAGATGTGTCTGAAAGCATGAGGAATTGAATTGTTTAGGAATACTAATTTTCTTTTCCAAATTGTGAATTAATATTGAAGGTAGATATTGACTACTTCATGAAACACTGTGCTAGGCATTATGGGACGCAAAGATTAAGTCTTTGGTCTCAGGAATTTAAATCTGGTAGGGGATGTAAGATATTTGCACAAAAATTCACAGTGTAAAATACATGGCTCGGTATGGTGGCATACAGAGGAGGGAGAGACAGGATGATGCTAGTTAGAAGCCAGTCTGGGCTAACCACACACACACTCCTGAAAACAAATGGAACAAAAAGAAATGTGTCTGTATGTAAAGACTTACCCTGTGGGTAGTTTTGGGACCATATGTATAAAAAGAAGAAGGGCTCATATTTAGCTTAGATAATCATTAAAAGTAGAAAGATAGCTCTGATACTACTATTTATTGACTGCTTGTTTAGCATCAGGTGCTATGCTAATTGTTGTTTGTTCATTTTCTAAGCTTCACAAGGACATATAAGTATCCTTTAAAAATGAAGATACTGAGTCTCAAATATGTTAAGTAACTTCTCTTGGCTATGTGGCTAGTAGGTAACAGTTTCGATTTGAATCCAGATTTTCCTGGTACAAAAGCCTGTGTGTTTCCACTGCATGTTTCTACCTTCCAATACACTGGTAATCTAAATTTGATGTTAGCTGGTAAGATTTAGGGGTTGGAATTAGGTGGATGAAAAAGGCCTTTCAAATAAAGAGAATGGTAATTAACAGACATGTGGAGGTGAGAAAGTTCATTGTGTGCTCAAAGTTAGTGGACCAGATTACCTAGAATATTCAGTTCATTTTGGGGGAAAGTGGAAATGACATTTGAAAGTGAAATTGGGGCTGGATTGTGGAGCATATATGAATGCTGTTTTTAGAAGTTCAGCATTTGGAAGGTAATGAGAAGTGACTGAAGTCTAATAGTGTAGTGTGTAGAATGATTTTTTTGTTGTGGGAAGCTGACTTTCAATATAGTACTATAAATACCGAATAAGGGCAATGGTAATGAAATGAGGATGAAGGCTCAACTGAACCTAGCAATTGGTTTAATAGGTGGGCATAGAGAAGAGTTGATAAGGAGGGTTTGGGTAAGATGGAAATACAAGGTTACCCTTTCTAAGTGTGGGTGATGTTGATGGTGGTATTTATTGTTACCAGAAATGTGGCAAAGGAGTTGCAGAATGAGATAGTATTCAAGACAGGCTGACCTCACTCTCAATCCTACTCTCAGCCTCCTGAGTAGTTGGGATTATAGTTAGGTACCACCATGCTGGGTATGTTGAGTTTTTTATTTTATTTATTTTTAATTAATTGATTTTTTTGGCATACTGGGGTTTGAACTCAGGATCTGCTTGCTAGGCAGGTGCTCTACCACCTGAGCCACCCAGCCAGCCCTGTTTTGTGTTGAGTATTTTCAAGATAGGCTCTCTTGAACTGTTTGCTGGGGGCTGGCTTCAAATTGTGATCCTCCTGAGTAGCTAGGATTACAGGTGAGAGCCACTGATGCCGAGCTGTGTTAAGTTTCTTACATACTTCCAAACACTAGAAATGCTCAGAAGCTTTTGGAAATGTGGTTTTGCAGTTCAGGAGCTAGGTCAGAGTTAAGCATATATTAAGTATGGATTTAGGGAATATACAAATATTTAACTAGATGGATCTTTGTTATGAATTGAAAGTACCAAGAGAGATTGTAGAGGGGAAAGAAAAAAACCAAAAAACAACTAACCTGTATTTTAGATGGCATCTGTAAAACAGAAGGGAAAAGGAAAAGACACTATGTAGACTATTTTATGCAATGGGTAAAGAATTTGGTAGTCTGTGTGTAGCTTCCTTACACTGCAGATTCAGATGGAGTAGAGAGAATCTGATCACTAAAAGTCTAATTGGGAAATAAAATTGTCCTGCCCTTACTGGCAAGAATACTGGGCTATCATTACACTGTTTCAGGGTAGACAAACTTTCAGACTCATTTGGCTTACAGTGTCAGACTTTGGTTACTTTAAAGCCACTTTTGGTTGTTTCTTTTGGATGTTTGTTTGGCAAGTGATATGTGAGGGTTTGGAAGTAAATCTCTGTACAGTATTCCATTTGTTTTTGTGTTTGATTTTGGTTTCAATATGAAGAACCTCTGAATGTTCAAAGAATGTACAGTGGTTGTTAATACTGCCTTTTGTAGAAATAGGAAATGGTATTTAATTCCATATGTTTCTTACAGCTCTCATAATTTTTTTTTTTTGTAGTAGTGGATATTAAACCCAGGGCCTCAAGCATGCTAGACAGGCACTTACCACTGAGCTACATCCCCAGCCCAATAGAAGTACTTTGATTAATATGAATAATTTTATTGCTAATTAATGTTCTATCTTTAGTCTATTATATAAATGTATATGAATATTATATGTTTTATTTTGGAACAGTTAAGATGTGTAAATTTATAAAATTTCATGTGATTTTCTGTTTAGGTAGTTAAATCAGGAGAAATTGTTTATTAATGTGTAAAGAATTGTAATAGTTTGCAAAAGATTGTAACTTTTTGAATATGAGTTTATTATTTTTAGGTTGAGTTACCATGGAAGTGTTTATTTCCTTCTTGAGAATTAATACATTCCTTTTATTTTTCAGAAATATGTTTTTCACTATGTCACAGGCACTTGGGAATGTCCAGAGTGCGTCAGTGTTGTGGAAGCTTGGGGTTTTGTGTGTGCTTTGTCTGGGTTGGTTGTCTTAGTTTCAGTGAGCCTGGTATTCGTGAGACAAAGGTCAGGAGTTCCATTTAGCTTTAGTCTGAATGATGGCCCGGGAGTACACCTCTTGCTCCCACCAGCTGTCTTGGAAATTCCTCAGTTGTCATTGGTCACAAAGGTGACTGGATGACAGTGGATCTTTATATCACTGGCAGAATGTAGAGGAAACTTAGCCTTGGAACTTGACAGACCTGTGTTAAACTACTACTACTTTTTTTTTTTTTAATTCATTTATAAATACAGTAAGACTAAAGGACAGTTTTCTTAAACACATAGAACTAACTTAAATCAAGATTGAGTGATCTGGGACTATTTCCTGTATGTTTTGCCTCAATTACAATCTATAGGAATCAGAAGTTGTGGGAATACGCAGGCTCAGACTCAAGGCCCAGCTTCTCCAGCATTGTGAAAAGGGATTCTACAGCAAGGCTCAGAGCGCTATGCTCCCCTGGGCTACTTGAACAGAGCCTAGGGGAAAGTGACCTCCTGGTGAGTTTGCTGCATTATATTGTGTTAAAATTTTTGATTTGTAACTTGGGAGAGTCCCTAAATCCCTCCAAACATCCCATTTCCTCATTGTTAGAGAAGTTTGCATTTGGTTTGGGCATATCCTTTTGCTTTCCTTTTCTGAGTGGGAACTGTGGTCACTTAGGCCATGGTTTCCAAATGCTGGAGTAGTGTTGGTCTAAGACAAAGTTTTTTTTTGTCCAAGTGAAGTGAGAATATAGAATATAGTTGGCTTTTCATAAAGCTCAATCTATTGAATTTAAAAGATAATCTTTTTCCTAAAGTTTTTTTTTTTTTTTTTGTGGGAACATTAGTTCTTTTATGAAATAGTGATGATAGTAATTGGTAGTGTTTTTTAAAAATTAAATTTTTTTATTATGTTCTTGGCAGAATACAAGTTGGCAAACCTATGCTGGTAGCTGCTTTCTTCCTCCCCTTTTTTAAAGATTATGGTTTTGTGAAATCTGAAACTCTTGGCTTAAACAGTACCTGAGGGATTGGAGGAGAATACTTACCTATTTATATATATTTGTGTTAGATTTGGGGTACATTCTGTCCTTTTATTCTGCAGGAGTTGCATAGTGATTTTCATCACCATTGCATTTTGTCCTTTCACAGTTGATACTTACAGCACATTTCAAGGAGCAGTTTACACTATTTTCAGTTAGTTCATACAAGTTGCTCCAAATTATTTAAGGCTGTATTTCTCAACCATAGCCTCAGGAGAGAACTGGTGAACTGCGGGGGCTGCCTGGGGTGCTGCTTTATAGCCAACAAGATAAATAACTTGCCTTTGACTTAATGAAGTAGCAGAAATTGGCTTTCCTTTCCCTTTATGCAGGAAAGATAGTTGTAGCTAGAGTGAGAAAGCCTTTTTATTTAATATAGTAAGTAAATCTTGTACAAATATCTGTATTCAAAATGCTTTCTAGAGAAAGAGAATAGTGCTGCACTGTGCCTAAGTCAGTTATGTAAGTGGAGCCACAGAAGTCCTCCTGAGGATACAAACCGATTATTAACATAAGCACTTATTGAAATTGCATCAGTTGTCTAGATGGGAAGTTTGTTGACTCCCTGGTTCACTTAGAGTGGGGGAGGGGCACAGGAATTTAAGGTACAAGCCTAGGTGACTGAATTCAGTAAGACTTAACATTTGCTTCCTTTGCGTTTTTGGGCAGGTAATTTGAAAAGTTGGGAGTGCTATAGTAATACTTAAAGTATATATTAGAACGGCTAAAGCAAAATTTTCAGGCTAAGTTGAAATAGCTTGAACCGTCTAGAGATTTACTGCCTTAGATAGTAAGAGTGATTTTGGCTTATAGACTTTTGTTATATATAATTGTTTCTGGTAGATAATAAAAATCACATATAATTCTTTTATTTTAATAATGCTTAGATTTTTCTAAGCATCCCCAAGAATTCCCAGTGGTAGAAATGAGCTGGATAATTACCCTCAGATATCTAGGAATGTAGCCCAAAATGTACTGGCTATAAGTTGAAAAGTCTTTGGTGCCTCTAAGTTTTATTTTTTTAATTTATAGGAATTTTACATCCTGCTATGTTTAATATGCAAATAGTGCTTTAAAGTACTGTCAACTAAAATTGATGCCTCAGGAACGAACGGTATGTTCATCTTGTGGATGATATGACTTATATTGCAGTTTAGTAGTACTGTACTGATTTTTTACTTTTGGCCTTTTTTCTTTTTCTTTTTCTTTTTTTAGTACTTAGGTTTGAACTCAGGGCCTACACCTTGAGCCACTCCACCAACCTTTTTTTTTTGTGTGTGTGAAGGTTGTTTTGAGACAGGGTCTCAGGAACTATTTTCCCAGGAACTATTTTCCCAGGCTGGCTTTGAACCATGATTGTCCTGATCTCTGCCCCTTGATTAGCTAGAATTTTAGTTATGAGCCACTGGGGTCTGGCCTCCTTTTTTTTTTTTTTTTTTAATTCAAATCCTATGTGGGACATAGGAGGCTGAACAATTTCTGACATTTAAATATTTTATATAGGGGTATATATTTAATGAACAAGAAAAATTGTTTTTTAGGGGGGAGGGAGGGCTGAATTGGGGGTTGAACTCAGGAGTTGTGGCCTGCTCTACCACTTGAGCCATGCCTCCAACCCTTATCTTAATCTCATTTTGAAGATGGTTTTTCTGAGTGTATATTCTAGTTTTTCTTTGCTCATTACAGATTTTCTTCATTCTCCTCTGTATTTTATTGCTGTTGAAAAATTCACAGCCACTGTAATTGCTATTGTCATTCCTTTATAGGTAATCTGTTCTTTGCTTCTTAATGGCTATTTTATTCCCCCCAGTGCTGGGATGGAACCCGAGGCCTTGTGCATGCTGTGTAAGCACTGTACCACTGAGCTACAATCCCAGCCTTTGTTTTTTTGAGACAGCGGTTTTTACTATGTAGTTCTAGCTGGCCTAGGACTCCAGATACTCCTACCTCTGCCTCTGGAGTCCTGGGATTACAGACATATGTTAGCATGCTTAGTTTGAAATTTGTATTTGAAGTATGTTAGATCTTCTTACACTGCCCTTCGTGTCTCTTAACCTGTCTTTCATATTTTCCACTTCTTTACTTTTCTGTGTTGTATTCTGAATAATTAGTGCCATTTCTTAAAGTTAATAGTGTTCTCTTCATCTTTGTTCTACCAGTTTATTGAATTAAATCTCTTTTCCAATTTCCTTTTAGTATAGAACCCCATATATTTTACAGTGTTGAGGATTGGATTCTAGCCTTTTTTTTATTTTAATTTTGTTTTTGAGATAGGGTCTCACCATCTTTGCTTAGGGTGGCCTCCAAATTTGGCTTTCCACTTCCCCAGTAGGTGGGATTACAGGTGTGCTGATGCGCATGCCTGGCTTCCATTCTTTTTAAAAATTGGGTTAAAAACTATATCACATAGAATTTGCCATTTTAACCTTTTTTTTTATTTTGGTGGTACTGGGATTTGACCTCAGGGCCTTGCATTTGCCAGGCAGGCACTGCATTGTTTGGGTCACTTTGCCAGCCCTTTTTTGTGGTGGGTATTTTCGAGATAGGGTCTCTAGAACTGTTTGTCCAGGGCTGGCTTTGAACCACTATCCTGATCTCTTCCTCCTGAGTAGCTAGGACTATAGGCATGAGCCCCTGGCACTGGGCTCATTTTAACCATTTTTAAGTCTACAGATCAGTGGCATTTAAGTACCTTATGTCATTGTGCAGTCATCACCACTAGTAATTTCCAGCACTTTTTCATCATCACAAACTGAAATCTGCACCCGCGAGATAATAATTCTCCATTTCCCCTTCCCCCAGCCCTTGGCAACCACTATTATTTTACTTGTATTTATTTCTTTTGAGACAGGGTCTCTCTGTGTAGTCCATGCTGGCTTGGAACTTGCGATCCTCCTGGACTCAGCCTCCCAAATGCTGGGAATTACAGGATTGTACTACTACACTTGGCTTTACTTTTTGTCTCTGCCTTTGACTATTCAAATTACTACAAGTGGTCACATACAGTATTTGTCCTTTTGTGTCTGGCTTATTTCACTTAACAATGTGGTCAGGGTCCATTCATGTTTTAATATGTTCATTAGGTTTTTAGAATTTTCATTTACTCTATGCTTTTTGTTTCTAGATGTTTCATTCAGTTTCTTCTTTCTTTTTGTTGTTGTTGTTCCTGGGGGGGGGACGGTCAAACCCAGGGCCCCACACATGTTAAGTACCTGTTCTACTACTGAGTCACATCCCTTTTCCCTGGTGTATCCTCTTTTGGGTAGTCTTGTTCCTATCCTTGATCATATTTTCAAGATGATGTTTATGTTTTTAGTCTTTGTGTGTGTTTGTGTGTATGTTCAAAGTCTTGCTGTATTTCCCAGACTGGCTTCAAACTCTTTGTCCTCCCTCTATGCCTCCTCAGTAGCTGGGATTAATGCTCCACCAGGTGTAGCTGAAGATTACTTTTATTTCTTAGAAACCTATTAAATATGTTTACTTTGTACTTTTTGACTGATAATTCTGACATCTGAAGCCTTTGCAGGTATGATTCTGCTGGTTTTGCTGGTGCTTGCCCATGACACCATGCTTTCTTGGTGATCCCCCTAGTGTTGAGAATCTAACTCCAGGCCTGGAGCTTGCTAGGTAAATCTGCCACTGAGTTACATGCCCAGGCCTTTGTTCTGTTTTATGTTTTGAGACGGGATCTCTGTATTGTAGTCCAGGCTGGCCTGAAACTCTCATCCTCCTGCCTCAGCCTTCTTAAGTGCTGGGATTATAGCTTGTACCACCACGCCTGACTGTCCTGTAACTTTTGATTGTGAAATTACCTGGAACTTTGTAGTAATTTTGCAGAGAGCTTTTTATCAGTACTTTAAAATTTTATAGCTTAGAGATTTTAAGTTAAACCTCTGGAAGATAGCACCCTGTTCTCAAAGTTTTGTTTTGAAATAATTTTCAACTTATAGAAAAGTTGTGAAAAAAATAGTGACTCTTGCATACTTTTTACCCATTTTCACCAATTTTTGCCATCTTGCCATATTTTTCTATAAGATACACATACATTATTATGTATTTCATTTTGAAAACTACTCGGGTGGGGAGGAAGGGGAAGGTGTCCCAAACAGTGTATACACTTAGAAGTAAATATAAAAATAATAAAATAAAGGAAAGCGGAAGTAAAAAAGAAAGGAAGAGTATTAAAGAATAAAGAAAGTCAACATTAAATGTTAAAAAACAAAAAAACTGTTGACAAATAGTTTGCATGCCTTTTTACCTCTTAATATCTGATGATGTATTTCCTAAGAATAGGCTATTTTAGGTAATCATAGTACCACTATCAAATTACAGAATTAATATTAATATAGTACTTTTATCTAATATGTATTTATATTTTAGTTTTGTCAAATTGATCACTTATTTTAGTTTAATTTGGAAGTGTTCCTTAGTCATTCTTTTATTTATTCTTTGTGATGCTGGTGATCCAACCCA